TCTCTGAACTCGTAAAGTTTTTCTTTTTAATTATCGCTGTCATTTTCATGAATGGACACTTCCTGATATCTGAGGCAGGAAACTGTCATGATTCTTGTGTGCTATGTTATGATTCTTGTGTTTTGGTTATTTTCTGGTAGTATTTTTCAGATTGTTTGGTTTACCCAACTGTTATGTTTCTCCCTTGTTGTCAGTGTTATTTAGTTTTTGCTGCCTTGACAGCTTTTTGTTTATTTTTGTTAAAATAAACATTTTTCTTACTAAAACTCTTACCTCCATCCGGATTTGGGTTCTTCTCCTAGTCAAAACTTAACATGCACCGGCACCACCGGACCCTCTGATCACCATCAGTAGGCAAACATGTAAAGTGTGGGAGTCTCACAAGCTGTGGGACTCCGGAAGCAGCCGATAAATATCGGCAGTCCAAACAGATTGCAGCTTGTGTGGTCGCTGAGGCAAAAACTCGGGCGTGGGAAGAGTTCAGAGAGGCCATGGAAAAAGACTTCTGTATGGCTTAGGGTAATTCAGGTCCACCATCCGGTGTCTCGGGGGTAGGGTGCGTTCACCACCAACACTGTTTATGGTGGGGAAGGTGCGCTGCTGACCTCAACTCAGGATGATGTGGATTGGTGGGCAGAATGCTTCAAAGTCCTCCTCAATCCCACCAACACATCTTCCCATGAGGAAGCAAAGCCTGAGGACCCTGGGTCGGACTCTCCAATCTCTGGTGCCCAGGTCACTGAGGTGGTTAAAAAGCTTCTCGGTGGGTGGAGGAGATTCACCCGGAGTTCCTTAAGGCTCTGGATGTTGTGGGGTTGCATTGGTTGATGCAACTCCACAATATCACGTGGATATCGGGGGCAGTTCCCCTGGATTGGCAGACCGGAGTGATGGTTCCCCTATTTAAAAAGGGGGGCCGCAGAGTGTGTTCCAACTGTAGGGGGATCACACTTCTAAAGCCTTCTTCTTATTTCCTCCGAACTGCCCACGTCGGCACAGGATGTCGCGGTTTCATGACGAAAATTA